ATATATATATATTTTAATTATTATTTAGAATTTGGTCAGATTTTATGTTACTGTGCAATATTTATAAAATTTTTATGAGCTATCTTTTTCTATTACATTTTTTCCCCGTATTTTTTTAGTATTTCCCATTCATTTCCTATGTTGTCCATTTTTGAGAGTGAAGGTACCAAGTGTTACTTTTTATTTTTCAACTTTAACATATCTGAATCATGTCCATGATTTTTTGTGACTTCATATAGCTAATGCGACAAAATCACCAAGTGTCGTCTCATTCCGATGAAGCAAAAAATTTAAAATTTCAAAATGTAATTTTTTTTGGTCAAAAGTGACCGAAGAGGCCCAGAGGGTTAATAAATTATTAAAATAATGTAAAAAAATAAATAAAATCTAAATCTAAGAAATATTTGGCATGCTAATTATCAAAACATAACAAAATAGGTTATATTTTGTAATACTATATATAGTATTGTCATTGTCGTATTATTTGATTACAAATCATCTATCAAATCCATCAGTTCTGGTGTACCTCAAGGTTCTGTTTTGGGCCCCTCTCCTCTTTACCATTTATATGCTACCAATTGGACAAATAATCAAGCGCTATGGGTTTAACTTCCACTGTTACGCAGATGACATTCAAATTTATTTTAGCGGACCTTCCACTTCAGTGTTCCCTCCGCCTGCATTAACAAATTGCATCAAGGAACTCAAGCTTTGGCTGGAGGTAAATTACCTTAAATTTAACTCTGATAAAACAGGTAATTCTGATTTGCTCTAAAGCTGTTGTATCTAAACTCTCTGGTCAACTGATGGATCTGGATGGTGATCTGATCATGCCCTCCACTAAAGTTTGCAATCTTGGTGTTCTCATTGATTTCACGCTTTCATTCAATGATCACATTGGTAAAGTAGTAAAGACAGCTTCCTCTTCAGGAACTCGAGCTGCGTCGGAAACGCTAGGGGAACGCCTTCTGTGACCACGCTCTGAATAACATGTGAAATCAGTCCAATAGCTGAGCGGGACGTCACGGGCGGGTGACGTCATGTCCAGGAAGCTATAAAAGCACATGCGACGGAGCCAGCGTCAGCTTTCTGTCATTCAGCGAAGCGCTCTGTGTGTGTCAGTCATATTTATTGTTGTCTGTCAATTGTGAAAGTCTATAAGCTCCAGCTATGTCTAAGCTCATGCAAAGACAAAGCATTTCAAGGGCGAGAGCAAGCCACGTTGTAGGTTGTGTGTTCCTCTCTGCCCAAAGAAAACGTTATATCACGAGTGGGGATACACACAGCCTGTGCGTGGTTTGCTTCGGAGTAAAGCACAGTTGTTACAGCCTTGCTTCGCTCTCAGAGGGCTCTCTTTGAGGAGGGAGCATTCACTAGTGTTCCTTGCGGTGCTGGCCCCGCTTTCGCAGAGGCGGAGCAGCGGCTGTGCTCGTGGGTTTCACGTATGGATCTGCTTCCTAATCACCAGATCCGGCGCCCGCTCTCGGGGTTTCGGAAGCCCGCGCTGCGGTCCTTCCCACCGGAGAGAGGGTGCGATGCTCCGCCTGTCTTTCTCCGAGAAGATTGATACGGAGGGCGTCAATGAGCTCGCCAGTTGCACAAACATCAGTTACACAAGCATATTATGCCTGATATTATAATGAGCAGCATTAATAGGGAGCGGAACTCGCGCAGTCGGCTCTCAGGGGGCAGATTGTGTTTTTTTCCCGCTGTTAAGCTTTCCGCTCTCGCCGGGCACGCTCCGAGGAGTGTGTCCGTGCCTGTGATCTTGCGATTGCGGTCCCGCTGCTGCTGAGCCACGGCAGCGACTGAGAACGCGGAGATCGCACATGATCTAGCAGACGGGTTGGCGACGGCTCTTCCTATCTCCACCCGTGTTCGCTAGATCTAGAGCTCGTTCTCAGGGCTTGGAAGCCCGCGCTGTGGTTCTTCCCCCTCTGAGTGAGTGCTGCGGCCCTCTTTCTCTGAGGAGATTGATGTTGTTTGTGTGACTGAGTGACTCGCGTGCAGCGCATATATTACATCATTTCGGTTTTTGATGTGAATCTTAATACACTAGACCATATTTACTCGTCTGGTTGTTTGATTGCATTTAACTCTGAGGAATAAAATGAAGTATTTGTCTGACTATGAGAAGTTAGATATACAGGGGCTCTTGGGATATAAATTTCTCGAGTGAGAGCACGCATTAACCTCTCTTCCTCTGAGGAGGTTGAGGCGGTTAGCAGGGGCTGCTGGGCGGAGCAGTCCCAACCTACCGTGTTCCAGCCCCTCATTCTGGGGGCCTCACTTCTCGTACTCCGCAGAGTCAGAGTGGCGCTCCCAGGCCGCAGGCTTCAAGCAGAAGGCGGGTCTGCGGACCGTTATTCTCGCTGGATATTCTTTGTCGTAAATGTCCTGACGCCTGAGGCCTAGGACTTTTTTAGGGCCAGCTCCCTCTGGGGAAGAGCGGTGTACACCGCATTACACAGTGCCCGTCTCTCTTCAGTGCCCTCAGGAGGTCGGTCTGCCAACCCTGCCGTGTTCCAGGGCACAGCGGTCTCCGGCGAGCGCTTCTCTCAGTTACCGCCCGGAAACGTAGTGGTACTAAGAGGCTTGCTACCTCTACGGAGGTATTTAGATGGGCTGTGGTCTAGTCTTCCTAGCAGACGACGTGGGTCTGAGGGCCATCGTTTTCAATAGGAGACTTCAACTATGAGGGTCCTGTTGCTGTGGCTCAGGACCTCGGAGGGCAGGCCCCTCTGGGGAAGAGAGGTTCACACCGCATTACACGGTGCCCATCTCTCCTCAGTGCCCTCAGGAGGTCGGTCTGCCAACCCTGCCGTGTTCCAGGGCACAGCGGTCTCCGGCGAGCGCTTCTCTCAGTTACCGCCCGGAAACGTAGTGGTACTAAGAGGCTTGCTACCTCTACGGAGGTATTTAGATGGGCTGTGGTCTAGTCTTCCTAGCAGACGACGTGGGTCTGAGGGCCGTCGTTTTCAATAGGAGACTTCAACTATGAGGGTCCTGATGCTGTGGCTCAGGACCTCGGAGGGCAGGCCCCTCTGGGGAAGAGAGGTTCACACCGATGTGTCACGATTAATCTAAAAGATGCACATATCCCCATCCTTCCTCATCATAGGAAGTTCCTGAGGTTTGCTTTTGGGGGCAAAAGCCTACCAATACTGGTTCTTCCTTAGGCCTTGCACTCTCACCCCACACTTTCACGACTCAACCACATCGACAATTGGTTGATATTAGCTCAGTCAGAGTGAATGACGGTTCGACATCGAGATGTCATTCTCACTCACACGAAAGAGCTGGGGTTAAGACTAAACACCAAGAAAAGTGTGCTTTCACCAGTACAGAGAACCACTTATCTGGGCGTGGTGTGAGATTCGACCACGATGCAGGCATGTATGTCTCCTGCTCGGATCGAGTCGATCCTCACCTCAGTCGCGAGAGTAAGAGAAGGCCGGTCACTCACTGTCAAGCAGTTCCATACTGCTTGGGCTGATGACAGCTGCGTCAACGTGATAACTATTGGCCTGCTGTACATGAGACCCCTACAGTGGTGGCACAAGAACAAGGGGTTCTCCCCGAGGGGAAACCCGCTCCGCATGCTCAAGGTCACGCGGAGGTGCCTACTTGCCTGGAGATGCTGGCCATGTTTTGAGTTCTGAAACACTTTCTCCCAAACTTAAGAGGTCACCATGTGTTGGTGCGCACCGACGACACAGCGGTGGTCTCTTACATCAACCACCAGGGAGTTCTGCGTTCGCGCCCCTTGTACAAGCTGGCGCACCAGATACTTGTGTGGTCCCAGAGCAAACTCCTCTCGCTGAGAGCAGTTCATGTTCCTGGGCATCTCAATATGGGAGCAGACATCCTGTCGAGGCAGGGGCTGAGGTCCGGGGAATGGATGCTTCACCCCGAGGTGGTGAAGCAGATATGGAGAGTGGTTGGCCAGGCTCAGATGGTTTGTGTTCTGTCTTCTGGTATTGATGTTTATTTGTTTCTGTTCCTTAAACCTGACTTGTAAAGTGACCTTGGGTGTTGGAAAGGCGCTATATAAATAAAAATTATTATTATTTTTATCATTACTACCAAAATATCTGTAGTCCTAGCCATAAGCCTGTTTTTGTTCATTTACAATGTGAATAAGGATTATTTGTGGTCCTCAAATGCTGCTGGGATCATTGTGTGACTTTTCTGAGCTCAGGCTGTCATATTTAAGACTTTCTTTTTCCAAGCATGCCTCCATGAGAAATGTAGAGCTGAGCAAGAGAAGAGCACAGCTGAGAGTAAGAAGACAAAAAAAGAAACAGAACACAACAAATAAACAGCAAGATGCAGCACGTTATTCTAGAACTATCATTAGTAATAGATGACAAACAAGTCCCCTGAAATATGATTGCTCTGTTATGTACCCAAGATAGTCTCTATGAGGACAAATTATGGCAAAAAAGAAATTAAACTTGTTTTTCACTGTTTGCTTTTGCTGCTGTGAACGTTGCTGAGGGGCTCTGAAAAAGAAAAGCAGAGTAAGAGAAAAGAAATTAGGCTGTGGTAAATTTTGCATGAGACTAATACACACCCCTGTCCCGGGTCTACAGCCAGCGCTCGTGGGTGCTCCATGCCACCGGCAATCAAAGTCGTTCTCATTTCGCCATTCAGCTTGGCCACCTCAATCTGATCCAAGTTGCTGTCTATCCAGTAAAGGTTTCCTGCAATCCAATCCACTGCGAGTCCCTCTGGGGTGGCCAAACCATGCTGAATCACAACCTCGACCCCGGTCACACCTACAAAACAAACCACTCGCGCTAGTTCATAGCGTGGATGGGGTTTTGAATTCAGCACAGCAAAGCATTCTGGTCATTTTGAACTTTCTTTTGAAGTGTACAGCTCTTCAAAATGCTACTCCTAGCTGAAAAGACCAGCTTGAACCAGAATGCATTATTATGCTGCTAGTCATGTTGTTCACCAGCAAATGATGCAGGTCTTTCTGATGAAGCTGGAAAAAGGAGGCTTGCTAATTAAGGTAGTTAAAGGGATAGTTCACATAAAAACGAAAACTACTTCTATAACTATAAAAAAAATAGTTTCCAGTAAGTAAAATAAAGCTGAAATAAAATATGCATATTCAATTAAATCATTAAACTCACAGTAAACTACATGTTGAAAAAAATAATAATAATTTCAGCTACCTGAAGTTAAAACTCAAAAAAGTACAAAAAACCCTTAATAATAATTACTTAAAAAAACTAAATAAATGTAAAAATAATTTATAAGCAAATGATGGTCTAGCGTATATACAAATACAAAACATTAAATGACATAAAATGACAAATTTAAACTAAAATTAAAATGAAACCTGAAAATATACAAATAAAAGCTAAATCAAATTATAAATAAATACTATAATAGTATATAAATAACATTAAAATAACACTGGTTCCAAACCTGTATGACTTTCTCTTCTGTGGAACACAAAATAAGGTATTTAGAAAAATGTCTCAGTGTATTTTTTTTCATACAATAAAAGTCAACCATTCTTCTAAAAAATATATATATATATATATATATATATATATATAGGGCTGAACTATCCCTTTAAGAAGCCTGGTATGGACACCAGAATATCAACAGCAGCCGATCAGCATCCAAACACAACATTTGCTGGTCTTTTCAACAGGGTTTCTGAAAATAACTCTGGAAAAGAAAACACTGGCATTAAAGGAAAGGAAGTTTTCCCTCAGCAGTAAACAAGATTTTTTTTTCAGCTATCTATAATCCAGCTGTTTGCAATTATTCTCAGCTGCGGAGGGTTTTATGAAATGCTAACAAAAGGAGAGAGAGCAATGGCTGCACTGGGGGCCTTTTCCTCTGAGAGAAAGACTCAGATGTATGCTTAATGCAGCTTCAAAATAGTCTTCAAAACAATTCAAGGGTATTCGTCAGCTCCTTCAGAGGTTTTCTGCGTCATTCAAAGAGCCACTGTACGCAAAGCACATTCTGTATTGCCTTACTATTCAGGGGACATGACCTGCGTGCTAGGAATGGGGAAACAGAATATCTACTCAAACTAAAGCTTAGGTTAAACAAAGGGCGAGTAGGAATGGGACATCAAATTGGTTGTTCATTACCTCCGGTCTCGGAGAGCTTTCCCCGATAGATCTTATCCTCCACCACGTCGGTCCAGTAAAGCAAACTGTGGTTGAAGTGGAAGTCGAGAGCGATGGTGTTCCGCAGGCCGGGCACGAGTAGGCTGTAGTCACGTTTATGAAGGTCGATTCGTCTGATCTCATGCCGGATAGAGAAGATAACAAAAGCCTCAAAGGGATCTTGGAGAAGAAACAAATTGATTATTAGCACCCCACACCTGTGCATTAGAGTTTACGAGAGCATTACGCTTTGTGTGGAGGCGTCAGTCATGCACATTTTCCTGTGCACAACCACTAATTATCAAAAAGATTTACAGGGACACTTATCTTAGAGAAACCTGAGGATAATGGTAAAAGACACTTGAGTCGTCTTTGAAAAATCCACACACACACAAAAAACAAAAAACAAAAAAAAAATCAACCCCCATTAATTAGATCAAAATACAGGTTCCATCCAGAACAAAGTCATCCAGGTATATACAGTATAAAGTATAAAAAGGTATTATATAATTAAGAATAATATATATTCTTAATATAATTAATTTGGCAGTCCAGCTCTATATCTACTAGGCAACATTATCCCAGAAAAAAATATTTTCTATTGGTATTGGATAAAACCTGCTAAGAGCTACAGTATAAATGTGACTGTCTGCTATAACAAGAACTTTCTCTCAAGAGCTATATACGTTACTAAATCCATAAAATACCACACAGATGCTTGTTGTCATATTCTGACTAATGACCCAAATTCAGATTCCCTGAGACAATTTAAAAGCTTTTGGCAGGCATGCTGCTGAAAAGACATTAGCTGCTCATTGAGAAGCTCCTGTCTGCGTATCCCACTATCAGTGTATTACTGTTGCTCTTATTGCTGTGTACCGTGGACTGATCCACTGTGGACAAACAGGAATGCACATGAAGTTATTTCACTGAGAATCATAAACTAGTCTAGAAAAATACTTGTACTACTAAGTCAAATATCAGTCTGTTCTTAAAACAACACTACTGTATCATTGCTGCTTATATTTTATAGTGCTTTTTTGTCATTCTAGGTCACATACTGTATGAACTGTTGTTGCATGGGAAGATCTACATACTGATTCTTCAAAACTTTCTATGTACGTATCAAATACATTTGGAACGTATGATGGTGAGTGAAAAATGACAATTTTCATTTTTGTGTGAACGATTCCTTTAAATACCAACTTTCCACTTTTTTTTTTTACTTGGACCACTAAATCATTAAATTATTTTTAATATTATTTTTGTTGCAAGCGCGTGCGGGGACACACACACACACACACACACACAGAGAGAGAGTATACAGTATTTTAAATTTAAGTTTGAGGAATTTAAATACCTGTGCTGTGGCAATTCTCTCCATCTGGATCAAGTCTCCAGCCGGGATAACAGGAGCACTTGACAGTGGTCTTATGCTGTTCGCATATCTGACTACATTTCAGGTGAGCAGAGCAGTAATCCACCGTCTCGCATGTTCGATTGTCAGAGCCAAGATGGAGTCCGATGGGACATGAACACACCACCCCTTTGCTGGGGATCACTGAACACTGGTGACTGCAGCCCCCATTACCTTGCACACATTTCTCTGGAAAAGACAAGAACAGCACGAGTGAGGACAAAAACAGAATCAATTTGAAAGGCTGGTGATATGGAGCCATGTTTGCTGAGATTCAAGATGCAAACTGAAACAGAAAAGCCACAGATGAACAAAAGACTGACGGTTTGGATTGAATATTTGCACAAGGCTATAATCTTATCGCTCTTTGCCTCATAAGTTTTGGTGTCTTTCTTGACTTGACCACTATGCCATTACTCTGACCTAATCAACATCACCAGCCAAGTGTGTCACAATAATTAAAAAAAGTGTAAAGAATTACTTTATTCATGAGGCAGATTCAATGAGAAATCACAGGTCTGAATTATGACTGACTTCAGCCACTGCGCAGGCCAAACAAACTCAAGGTGGAAAATGGCTTTTTCTTAAGTTTAAAATAAATGAAAACTAGGTCTCCGATATATCACGTTTTTTAAGAACGGTTCAGACAAACTCTGGTACTCTTAGTCTCTCATCTCTAATGGATAAGCTTTTTTCTTTCATTGAAGCACCTGGTCTTTTTTACAGGAGAAAAACAAAGGGGAGGGAGCTCACAGCTTCCAAGGTCTTTTTGCCTCTACTGATTATGATGATCCCCTCTGCAGTTGCAAGAGAGAATTGAATTTTCTTCACGGGGGTCCTGAAGTCTATATGGAGGTGAAGAATAGCTGCTTCCCAAAGGTTACAAATGGTATTGAGTCCTGCTGCGCTGGTCTGAGTCAGTCAGCCACCTCAAGGTCCATTGTCACAATCTATTTGGCAATAAGAGACCCAAGCCAAAAGCAGGTCTAGTCAGACAGATAATATACCTCGTACTCAGAACATGAGAGGTGGGCTCCCATGGGTGGCTGCTGGCAATACACTGAAAGTCACTGAACTGTTTGTCTAGTTGCATTCTGAGAGAATTATACATTGGTGACTCTCAAGAGACACTTTCCCAAGTGAGGGCTTTAGAGGGAAACAGATCCTCATGTTTAGCTCTCATTCAGACGGGCTTCATGTTTTCCGTGTGCCGGTAGCTTACATAGCATGCAGTGCTGGCTTTCCATTACACTCGCTCAAGGATGCATCTCAAAGAGATTCAAGTAGCCCTGAGGGACATGCCGTGTCGACATAAACACGATATTATCAAAATATTTTCACCCATGGAGAGTAACCACAATACATATTGATTTGCTCAAGTGTATAAATCCAAATCTTTATAGCTCAGGTATTTTATTCTCATTGGTTTGTTACCATTTTTTTAATGGTTTGGCTTTCTGTGTATTGATAGAACTACTCCGCATGACTACTTCTTATTCAACCAGTCCAGCATTTCTTGGAGAATGGACCAGACTTTACGTAATAGCACAGCAGTTTTCAGTTAGCATTAAACACAAAGTGTACAGTGAATAAGGCTGTCAATGCAAGCATTATGAACCAAGTGCTAAATATGCACTGCGACACTTGCATTAATTAAAGACCAAATGAATTAAAAAATCAAGTGTTGCGTTAGTTCTGGCAGGTCACGTCAGTTAAGCTAGCATCAGCTGACTCTCAGCTGATCCACACTTCCTATAGGGATACGACCCCTATCACAGCATCCATATATAAGGTCCTTCAGTATTATCAGCAGCTTTCACGTTGCTCAATAGCTAATTAAATAATGAATTCAGCAGGCAAAACCCCATCATCTCACCAGGAATTGTGCAAGTCAGATTGTGAACTTGAATACATGAATTCGCCGCATTGATCATAAGCTGCCTGATTTGGAATTGACTAGATTAGCACTGCTTCTCACATCGCTGAATTATTGACATGGACTCCATGAGTTATACTAATGTGACTGACTCAAGAACAAGTTCAGAAGGGATAAGCACTCACCGCATGAAGAAAGATACCGAGAGATCAAGCATCCATGTCACAGCTGGCTATGCTTCACTCTCCATTCATCTCTGAATGTCTTCACAAGGCTAAGTTCATTTTTAATTCTCTCAGGTTATTGGCAACATGCTTGTTGCTAAGGCTATCCTAAGGCTTATTTAGCTGTTTTCAATAAAATGCTTGTGCTAGGCTTATGCGATCATATTGGTCATGTGTGTTATTATCTGTTGATAACATGCTTGTTGCTGCAACATGCTGTGCTTTAACCTGTCAAATCAAGTTGCCTTTATTTATATATCAGTATGCAGCACAGATTCGGGCAGCTTTGCGGTGATAGACAGGAAATAATGATCATGGTGCAAACTGAATAATTTCTGCTGTGGTGCAGCTCCAAAGAGAAAATGGTAAACAGCAGTTGTTCAGTTGAAGTTAGTTCAGCGTTTATTCTGTTCCGAGTATCGGATAAGCTTGTTCTATCTAGTTGTATTAGAAACATGCTTGTTCTTAAAGCTATCCGGTTGTTATTGGGAACATGCTTGCTCCAAAGCTATGTAACGACTGGACCAAGCAGACACAATTATTTGTTATATTAAAGTAATAATCTTTAAAACCCACACTGTGAGCTCCATGGAACATCTCCCAAAAGTGCAACTATCACCCTAAGAGGGCTGTTACCCAAGCTACCATCTGATAAGACTGTTTTATTGCTTGAAAGTATGTGGAAAGATGCTATGTGCAATGGAACAGACCCTGTGAAAGACAGACTATAGAACGGACATTTCAACCACTTAAATTCATAGACAAACCTTTCTCTGAAATAATATACATATTCCAGGATATTGTGTGTACTATTCACTTGAGACATATACAATCATGTTTCCTATGTAATCATATGATTCTCCTCTTGACCAGCCAATCCAGTTTCATATGCAAAACACCTTGCTAGAGACAAAGGATCGTAAAATGTCCCTCCAAAGGTACCATTCCTCATGGACTCACTCAAATCCTGAGGGTGTGACACCCTCACACTTTAAAGATCACTGATCACAGGATCAGGGCGGTTCTTTTAGATTCTGAGAAGATGAGGATGCTGAACTAGAAGTCTTCTAAGGACCCCTAAGTTTGTGCCAGGCTGCGGCCTTGTCTTTCCATTCACCAAAGATCCTCAGATTTCAGCTGGTTCTCTCTCATCAAGACAACAACAGACAAGATCAACTGGAGCCTCAACAAACTGCATCAGGACACTTTTATTCAAATGGGCAAGACATGCAAGTATCAAACTTAGTTTCACTGTTTGATCCATTAAGTATCCCCACCCCTTTTAAAGAAGGGTGTGTTACAACTAAGAAACTAATGGTTTGCTCAAGGCTGTTGATCTGCTGAATCTCAAACAATACTATAACTTCTTGCATTCCTGTACTCTGCTTAAGCTCTCTTCCCAGTACTAAACTGTATGCATGTATGTGTGTTAGAATAGTTTAAGTGTTTAGTGTAGTTAATAAAGTCTCGTTTGTATCACACTCAAGGTTGTATGTTGTGTTGCTCATAACTGGAGTCCCTAATCATGCAGATTTTGGCTACATGCTCAGAGTAGTACTGTACAATAAAGACATTATTTCCCATACCCTGGAAATAAACATTTCTTAGAATTAATAATCAATTAACACTGGGTGTTTGCTGGGCGAACAGGTTTGTTGACTGTAATATTAATTCCATTAGCTGCTCCAAATATTTATAATTAATTATAACTGATTAAATTATTAATTATTAATATTTGCCTTTTGAGCTAATTTGATAGCTACAGCTATCTGCTTGTTATTGGAATATGCTTGTTCCTAAGTTTTCTGGTTGTTATTGGAATATTCTTGTTCGAAAGCGATCTGGTTGTTATAAATGGAAACATGTTGTTGCTTAAGCTTTTCAGGGGTCATATGGTTAAAGGTAACATGCTTGTTGCTATGGCTTATGTGGGTTTTGGCAACATACTCATTTGGATCATTGGTTCTGCAATACATTTATGTTGGTTCTGTTCTGTTTACCCAAGGGGGGTTATCACTGCTCTCCTTGCTCTTATCCATGCTAGGCTGCATGGATGCGCAGGGAGTTCTTGCCCAGAACAGAACCATACCGCCAATCCAAACTGTATGCTAATTGTCAATCACCTTTGACGATAGTGGTCCTGACAGAAATCAAAGTTGTGTGGCTTTTAGACCATGTCTGTTAGCTCTGCAGAAAAAAGCACCTCTAGCAGACATTAACAGCGATGTACACACATTTTGTGCTGAACTGTGCCACGAGAAGCCATGCTTAACAGCAGTGTTGTTAATGTTAACTAAAACTATTTAAAATAGTTTTAATTTAATTAAAATAAAATAAAATATAAATATTCAATGAAAAACATGTAACTAAAAAATATTTAAATAAGAAGTGTTGCCTTGGCAGCTAAATAAATAAAGCTCTATAAAAGGTATAAAAATGATAAAAAATAAAAAAAGTATATAAAATTACTGAACCTTTCAAATTAAAATGAAAACTGAAAATATCAAATAAAACATAATTTAAGTCATTATTATTAAGTTAAGTTAAACCTAAATTAATAAATACAATAATAATATATAAATAATACTAAAATAACACTGACTAAAATAAAATGAGGTTCTTAACTGTGGTAAACCCATTAAATCACTGTAAAGTTGAGCAAAAAAATACAATTTCAGTTTTATAATTGTTTGTGAAATTTATTAGCAATTTCTGAATGAGAATTGGTTTCACACCAATTTTTTTTTCACTGTAATAATAACTGGAATTAATAATTATTCTGCAAAGTAATACAGTTCCTTATCCTAATTGCAATCTGTTTACAGTTTCCAAGCAACACAGGCACATTAATGTAGAATTAGCAGTCACAGGTGCAAATTTATTCAGCATGGCTGCAAAGATGCCTCATCCAATCAAAAATTCGAGTTGCAATGATTCATTTTTATCAAATCTCGAAGTAACACAGCAGATGAGCCTCTAATCAAAGCTTCACATGCACTCACCACAAGAAGGACCCTCATCCGAATGGTCAGCACAGTCGTTTCTCCCATCGCAGATCTTGTTGGGGGGCAGGCAGGTTCTGGAGTCATTAGCACAGGGCTGAGTGGGGGGCTTACAGATGGAGGACTCACACGATTCTTCATCTGAGCGGTCTTCACAGTCGTTGTCACCGTCACACACCCAGCTCTTGCTGATACACTTCCCTTGGGACACAACATTCAGTCAGAGCACTATATAAATCAAGCTGTCAGGCTTAATTTGTTGTTTGTAGGTGAGCATGAAGATAAATCGGGGTAAATTTTAAAAGGTGGCAGAACGTCAAACTGGCATGACGTCAGGTACACACAGAAGCTTCAGCTTATTTAACCCTCAGAGAACAACTTTAGCAAAATTGCAACATTTGTTTTTTTTATTATTTAACATGTATTTATCACACAGTGGAGCTTATTCAGAAATTATAGATACTATATTCCAAATTACTTTCAATTTAGCCAAATTACATTTCATAAAGTATCAGAGGGCTGCTGAGATGAGCATACTGAAGTTTCAGCCTTCTAGCTCACTGGGAAGACTTTTATTAAGGTCAAAGCAACTGCAGTAGAGTCCTATAAATTTACAGGGGAACAGTGCAGAGTATGAATACCCCAGGATCATGAAGTCAATGTCAAAGGGCTGCTCTGAGATGAACACATCTAAATTTCAGCCTCCAAGCTTCCTGTGAAGGCTTCCTTCAAAGGTTTATAAGAATTTTTTTAATGCTTTCGTCTCTTATGCCTGCCCACCAAGACTGCAATTATTTGATCAAAAAGGCAGTAAAATGGTAATATTGTGTATATAATTACAATTTAAAATAACTGTTTTTATTTGAATATAGTTTAGTTTATAGTGTTCATAGTTTATTAGAGTTTATAGTGTATGTATATATATATATACAGTGGGTACGGAAAGTATTCAGAAAATCAAGAACCCTTCATGAATAGAAAGTTCAAAAGAACTGCATTTATTTGAAATATAATTTTTTGTGCCACATTATAGATCTCTTTACTGTCACTTTTGATCAATTTAATGCATCCTTGCTAAATAAAAGTATTAATTAAAAAAAATTCTTACTGACCCCAAACATTTGAATGCTGTTCTTCTGCACTTCGCAACCCTGAAAACGCAGGATTGAAAAACAGTCGGCTTTGCTTGTGTTCAGTCTATTTCCATGATCAGATAAACAGGTGAACACACTTTAGTCTGTTTCTGAGCCTGTCAAAATGATATGGGATTTGGCATTCGGTGTGAGGTGCAGTGGTCTGGAAAGTGTGTACGTTGCTGCTTTTTAGTAAATTTTTGACATCAAAAGGAGGAGGAACAAAACAACAAACAATTCTTGAGCTCTTTTATGGCTTGACTGTAGATGTCTTTTCAAGGCAATCATTTACAATTAGGGTGACTACATCAAAAAGCCCCATGTTGATTGATTCCACTATGGTCTGAGTGAAGCAAAAACTAGTTATAGATACAAATTAGGCTACAGCAAAATCTGATCAAAAGAAACACAAAGTTGAATTCTGTGCGTAAGGGGCCGTTCACATATCGCGTCTTTTGCGCACTCAAGTTTGTTATTTCAATTGTAGACGTGCGGCAGGCGCGCTCATAATGGAAGCGACGCGCTCATTTTTTCCAGGCCCATGCACGCCGCATCGAGATAAAAAAAAACATTTCAACTTTTCAGAATGCCGCAAGCGCACCGCGGGTCATGTGACAAGAACACCAATCAGCTTCATCCTTTCCTGTAACAATATTGAAAGCTCAGCCAAGATGAAGGAACAGCTGATTATAGCTGTACAGGGATAGCCATTTTTAAATAAATTTAGTAGCAGAGATACTGCAAGCGATTTTTTGTGCTGCAAATCCATTTATCCTTTGCTGAAACTTCTGCGTCTTCATGGAGAGCGCAGGTCATGCTTTGCAATGGCAGACGCTTCGGGAGCGCAAGCGCCCGAACGCTTTGGAAAAAAGCAGAAAGCGGCGCGCCTAGCGTTTTCCATGCATTTTTAGAAGCGACACGTGAACGGCCCCTAATCCTTTTTGTGCAGAGGTAAGATGTGTAACTTTTTCCAATACATTCAATACGTTCTTCTACTGCAGCTTAATATGCAGTGTAGGATATCAGACCGAATCAGACAATCTAAGATTTGGTCAAAACCGAGTTGAGGCACGAGGAGTCACAAAAATTCCACAGAGGCCCAAGACAACAGGATGTCATAAATCAGACCCTAGCCTCTGAAAAAATGCAAGTAAGCTACAGTATTTGTAGCATTATTTCTTGAAAGGTGTAAACATTGTTTCTCTGTGGCATTAGGAAAGCTTTACTCTGTTCCAGCATCCATTCTAACACTGCAACATTGGCTCAACCAAAGCTGCAAATTAGGGGCTGGACTGTCAGTTTGACCAACTAACAGCAGACCGAGGTGTCTTCGAGAAACATTTGGATGTCTTAATATTTGTTGTTAATGCTAGTGGCACAGAAATGATGTACCTCACCTTTTTAGTTTAATGTCATAGCTAACTCTGAATATGGAACAATGACACTGCTACCAAAGTATACCTCACTGTGAAGTACAAATCATTCCAGCTCACACCATTCATCTCAGCCGTTCTGGATAAATACGAATCCTAACATACAGAGATATTGCAAAGGATTGCACCATGTAACGAAAAACATGCTGGATTTATCATCCGACTCAATTTGCAAGAGGCAAAGATAACTGAAAGCTCAAGGATGGCATTGTGGTATAAAATATCACCCGCTGCTTCACAGAATTAATATAACAGTTTTGATTTACATTATATAGAACACAAGGAGAAAATAATAGCTGTAGGTCAGTGCATGAAATAAATGTAAGGTCAGTGCAGACTAGGAGTGGAACGGTTCAATTTACTCACAGTTCGGTTTGTATCACAGTTTTAGAGTCACAGTTTCGGTATGGTTCGGTATGTGCTATGTTTAGGCAAATGCTATACTGTCAAATAAAAATAAAGAAAATGAGAATAATCTATCTAACACCAAGAAACAGCACAACTAAATACAATAGAGTAAAGATACAAATAAACTAAACAGTGATTTTCAGTTTTTTTTAGGTAGGTCTTCAGGTACAGCAATTGAATAAAGTAATGAAATGTAAAACAGCATTGCATGTTTGACTGTATAAATTAAAGATTAATCTTTATTAAAGTTACAAAAGCTATTCAATCAAGAGCAGTGAGTGATTTCTTTGTTGTTGCTGTTTGATTAATATTAAGAAAGTGCTGTCACTTTAAGAGAATGCACTGATCCAGTGCACTGATACAGTACGTTCAGCCGGCTACATCTGCTATAGGATACTTACCAAGACGGGCATTTAGACATAATTTTTGTGTGAATTTGTCCATCTAAACACAATACTTCAGCAGTGGCGGCGTTTCACAAAACCATAAGGTATGGCAGTGGTGGGAGTTGGGGCTCTATGTAACTTTTGGCACTCTAGCGGTTAATAAACAGAACTGCACACATCCCGCGGAAGAACATTCCAACCGGAGCTACTTCTCTACTTCTCTTATGTCTAGCGATTCACGCAGGTATGTGTTACTCCTCAGCGCTGACGACCCGACAAGGCTACAATAGTCCAAATATAAGTACTTATTATAAGTGTACCGTAGTGATTCGGAATAAGACAAAAACGCAGTTTGGAAGATGAATTCATGATGTACTCGCTCATTATATACATTTTGCAAATTTTGAACACAGAAAAAGCTACATAGTGCTGCTTTAAATGTTTAAACTGGCAAAGCTTAAATGAGTTTAACTTAAACACAGATATTAACGTGTGCTGTTCAGGTCTCACCTGTGCGCGCGCTATCATATTCCAGCATACGGCATTCACATTAAACAAGAGCGAATGCTTTGACCACGTTTTTTTTTTTTTCATCGCTTTTGTTGTAATGTTTTGGGAAGCCATGCGCATCCATCAACAGAAACATATATTAGCCGAACCCTGTTTGTTTTACGTGTTATTTATAGCAAACCATATTACAGATGCGTTGTCAGATTTAAGTTGTGGGGAAGTCGTGGCCTAATAGTTAGAGAGTCGGACTCGTAACCCAAAGTTTGCAGTCTCTTACTGGCAGGGATTGTGAATGTATTGTGAATGTGAATGTACAGTGAATGTACAGCTCTCTCTCCCACCTTCAATACCACGACTGAGGTGCCCTTGAGCAAGGCACCGAACCCCCACTGCTCCCTGGGCGCCGCAGCAAAAAATGGCTGCCCACTGCTCTGGGTGTGTGTTCACAGTGGGGGTGTGTTCACAGTGTGTGTGTGTTCACTGCTGTGTGTGCACTTTGGATGGATAAATGCAGAGCACTAATTCCGAGTATGGGTCACCATACTTGGCCACATGTCACTTCACTTTAAAAAAGTGTGTGTGTGCCAAACCGTACGGTTCTATTTTTTTCTGCGAACCGTTCCACCCCTAGTGCAGACTAACTGGTTTTTAGGAACACCTGGTTGGCTTACCTGAACTTTTGCAGGTAAACTTTGCCTGGGGATCACACATTCTCTTGATGCCTTTGCAGTTTGTTTCATCACTGCCATCTTCACAGTCTTTATCCCCATCGCAGCGCCAGCGCTCAGGGATGCAGGTCCCATCAGCACGGCAGTGAAACTCCTCTCCACTGCATTCCACAGGAGGCAAAGCTGGACATAACGCAAAAAACTGAGATTGATTCTGGTGTATACTGATTCCCAACCAGTCTTAGGGTCAGATATTTTTAGTGGATCAAACACATACAGCCGGACCAGTGTAGTCTGATTCTGAAACGAATGACTCCAATGAGTCAGGTCCTTATAGTGTGTGGAAATAACATTCAGCACGGACAGTGTACTCCAGTTCCCAAACAATCGACTCTACTGAGTCAGTTCTTTTTAGTAAATCAAACACATGTAGTCGACCAGTGTAGCCCAATGCCTGAACAAATTACTCCATCCTTAACATACTGTTAGAGAGTGTAAATTAACTGAATTTATGCCACTTCTAATAGAACAAAATACTGATATTATCTCATCAATTGGAAAAGGATGAACACTTTTCTAACAAAATGAATTACTTAAAAGTACTAAAAGAATTAATAATGACACAGCTAAGGATTAAAAATAGCAAGGTAAATAGAAAAGAAACGTTTTTAAAGCTCACAGATGCTCTCACTTCAAACTACTAAGGCTACAGCTAGCCTTAATAATGTTAAACTGGCAGAGTTTTATCAAGTATACTTCAAGATTTCCTCTTGTCACGTTAATAAATATTTAAATATTCTCTCTGACACTGGCAAAGACTTTAAGTGTCTGTGTGATTTCAATGCAAAGGACAGGGGCGAGATTTTCTTCAAGAGTAAGGTGAGCACAAAAGTAAAGCCTTTTTTACTGTAGCCTGCCTCACGATTCTGATTCATTCTGAACCCTGACAATCGACAGGAGTTAAATACATACACCAAACCCACCATAATCCCCTGCCTGTCATCAAACAAAAAATGGCCTCCTGAAAAAGACATCTGGTTACATTACAAACCCTTAAAGACTAAAGGGCCCCCTTCTTTGCTTAAGGCTAATGCTGAGAGTTAGCAGTGTCTCCTCCACTTTACACATACAGAGCATGTGTTATACAATGATCTGAGCCCTGCGCTGGGAGGACATGAGCAGGGCAAACCCTCAGAGACAGACAGGAGCTGAGGACCTCCGTCAGGAGCCCGTTTGATGAATGGCTCCAACATTTCTGTGACAAGCTGGTGAGCTGAAAGCATCGGAGGACTCGGCCTCAGCTTTCAGAGGTAATTACAGCAGATTAAAAGATTCAAATCTGTAAGGTGGTTCCCTAGTGAGCTTAGATGAGATTAGATCTGTCAAGTGAAGAAAAAGAGAGAAAGTTTTAAACTTGTGTTCCTCAAATTAGGGACATTGCACCAAGGCAATTACAAGCAACACTGGCTTGATCGCTATCGTTCGGCTGTTTGTTAGTCTGCTAATTAGTCGTGTTAAACAGATTATCTGGAAACAACTCGGTAAGTTGGTTAAGTTGTTTGTGTACAGAAACAAACACAGATGTGTTTTTAATTAATGTAACAGGGAAATCTGACCTCTCCAAACGCTATTTGATTACTCTGATGCTTTTATTGGCCATACAATGTAACTAAGGACAAGTACCCAAGTACTCTGAAGTAACAGTAACGACTGCATACAGATGCTGTACAAGATGATTTTCAGTCTGTGGCAGTAATATTGCTCCAATCATTTGCTATATATTATAATACAATTTATGCCTAATTTGCATTTTAACATTTATTATATGTTATATTACTATTTGCATTTCTGGTTAGATTCTAACTACATTTTAATACGGAATTAGTTTCCATTGTTATGCTGATATATACTCAACTATATATCTCAACAAGACCAGATGAAACTTCTAAATTATCTAAGCTAACAGAGTGTATTAAAAATGTCAAAGATTGGATGACCAATCATTTTCTCCTACTGAATTCGGATAAGACAGAGATATCACTTATTGGACCAAAAAGCAGTACACAGAATCTCTTGGATTACAATTTGCAACTAGACAGATGTACTATTACTTCCTCTACAGTCAAAAATCTGGGTTTTATATTAGACAGCAACTTGTCTTTTGAAAATCTTTCCCATGTTACAAAAAACGCATTCTTCCATCTTAGAAACATTGCCAAACTACGAAACATGATACCTGTTTCTGATGCTGAAAAGCTAGTTCATGCATTCATGACCTCTAGACTGAACTATTGTAATGCACTGCTAGCTGGTTGTCCTGCATCTTCAATAAACAAGCTACAGGTAGTCCAAAATGCAGTGGCTAGAGTCCTTACCAGATCAAGAAAATATGTCTCTGCACTGGCTACCTGTTAAATTCCGTATCAGTTACAAAATATTATTACTTCCCTACAAGGCCCTTAATGGTTTAGCTCCACCTAACTAGTCTTCTACCACGCTACAATCCATCACGCTCCCTAAGGTCGCAAAACTCTGGACTCTTGGTAGTTCCTAGGATAGCAAAGTCCACTAAAGGAGGTAGAGCTTTTTCGCACTTGGCTCCCAAACTCTGGAATAGCCTTCCTGATAACGTTTGGGGTTCAGACATGCTCTCTCTGTTTAAATCTAGATTAAAGACACATCTCTTTGGCCAAGCATTCAAATAATGCATCTCATAATCTTGTACTGCAGTTATATCTGATCAAATGCACATTATTATTCTTTAGCTTGGGTTGAACAAATCATTTTTGCTTAGTTGGAACAGCAGCTACGCTAATTATGTCTCAATTTGCTTCTCTGTTTCTGCCACGAGATTGACATCCCGTGGTAACTAGGAATTACACAAGCTTCAGTCTGGATCCAGCCCTTACAAAGACCTGAGATGACCGAACACCTGAGAAGAGAATATACAAACCCCTCAGATTACCTCAGATGATGCCAATCCCGAAACAACATAAACTACCAAATTTTGCTACAAGTTTGATTGCAACATACAGTATAATCATTGCTGTTAATATTGAATAGTGTTCATTGTCTGTTTGATTACGTCATTAACTGAATTTTACCATACGTTTCTGCATTTTGTACATCAATTTGACAGTCACCACTGACAAGCTACTACTATTGTAGAAATGTAATTTTCTGTAAAGCTGCTTTGCAACGATTTGTATCGTGAAAGCGCTATACAAATAAACTTGAATTGAATTGAATCGAATTGAATTTACTGGCTCAGCATTTGGCACAACGGCACTAAAATATAATCTAACAATCAAATCTAGATAGCACTTAGATGATCAAATGGAACAGAACACAGGAGGCTTCATAGAATTTTTTTAAATCAGATCAATTTTTGAATTTAAAAATGCCGGTGTTTCTGCATTATGTACATCAATTTGACAGTCACCACTGACAAGCTACTACTATTGTAGAAATGTAATTTTCTGTAAAGCTGCTTTGCAACGATTTGTATCGTGAAAGCGCTATACAAATAAACTTGAATTGAATTGAATCGAATTGAATTTACTGGCTCAGCATTTGGCACAACGGCACTAAAATATAATCTAACAATCAAATCTAGATAGCACTTAGATGATCAAATGGAACAGAACACAGGAGGCTTCATAGAATTTTTTTAAATCAGATCAATTTTTGAATTTAAAAATGCCGGTCACAGAAGGCACAACATCAAAATACAGTCACCTGATACATACTGTACATACCAACCAAAAATAATAGCACAGACAGAGGTCGATTTCATAAGAATTGTCCCCCCTGAGTCAAAATGACCTAAAAGTACATTCTGGAAAAAAAAAAACATAAGATGGGCAAAGACAGAAATGTGATGGCCTACCAGGGGCAACACCAGCACAAGTCACATTTTCATCACTGAAGTCCCCGCAGTCGTTGTCCCCATCGCAGGCCCAGTGGTCTGGGATACACCTGCCGCTGGTGCATTTATACTGGCCATTAGCACAGGAGTGGACGCAGCCCGCCTCATCACTGTTGTCTCCACAGTCATCATCTACAATCACAAACACAGTACAGTCATGCAGAATTAGTATCAGAATAACTTCATTTATTACAATACAGAACTTTTGGCAATATGGTGCAGACATAAGTACATCACTGTTAAAGTTTTGAGGTCAGTAAGATTTATTTATAATTTAGAATCATTGTTTTCAATACATTTCAATATATTTCAATTCCAATATCTTTATTGGAAAGTTGTTTATTTCTGTGATGGCAAAGCTGATTTTTGGCAGCCATTACTCCGGTCGTCAGTGTCACACGATCCTTCAGAATTCTAAAATGCAGATTTTCTGCTCAAGAAACATTTCTTAATAATATAAATGTTGAATTTTCTGTGAAAACCATGACACATTGATTTTCCCAGGATTCTTTGGTGAAAAGACAAAAGAACAAAATGACAAAAGAAATAACAAAAGAACAGTATTTATTTGAAATAGACATTTTTGTAACTTTGTAAATGCCTTTCTCACTTTTGATCAATTAAATGCATCCTTGTTGAATAAAAGTATTAAAATCTTTAAAAAAAATGACTAACTTTTGAACAGCAGTGTATATGATAGGGCTCTTTTTTTGTCATGTATTGTCACACGAATCGTGTTGCTCCATAAAAATACAATAAAAATAAATAGATTTTATGATCGTCAAACACTTTGGTACCAGAAAATGGCACAGTTTCCTTAAGGGGGTCTTTAACCCTGCTGCGCCTCATGCTTTGTTGCACAATGCTAGGAACTGAAATGATAAAACAGAGGACAGCACCACAGGAGTTTTTCAAACAAGAGTCTTCAGGGCATCAAATTACGCCAAGCCTCATTTTGTTCTGAAAAATCAGCAAGGTATCTGAAGGCCCTGACCCTGGATAAGAAAAACCATCTCCATAAGCTGGCCTTGTCTGAATGCTCTTATTTGAGAGAAAGAAATAACAAAAACATATAAAAAGATCAAGTTTCATTGTTGTTGATGATCGAGTATTGCACGCAGGCAGTAATGTATTGCAGGCCTTGAGGGCTGGCAATAAATTATAGAGGTCGTTATTTTACACCCTCTTTGATCTGAAATGGAGATATTTCAGATAAAATAATCTGTGAATACTTAATGGTTATTAATGTGATGAATTTCTTGCACGACAAAAAAGACTGGACAGTAGAATCAATGGACTTAATTGAATTAAAGTGCCGGGTTTTCTTTTATCAGCTCCCGAGAAAATAGGCTAATACATCATTGTGCTATATGGAAGAGCAAGCAAAGTATATTCTTACTTCTGGATACACTCACCTGAGTCACAATGCCACTTCATGCTAATGCACCTCCCATTAGCGCAGCTGAACTGGCTGAGAGCTTCACAGGTTGGGAACGCTGTGAGCGGAAAGAAAGACCATGAGAAACGTTCGCCACAAAAACCCTGATGCTTGAACCCCGTCCAATACATCACTGTCTCTTTGATACACTGGAGAAGAGAACACATTTTTCATTTAGCTTTTAGCTTTGAAAAATTGCAAAAGAAGTTTGTCCTGGCACAGATTGCCCTGTCATGCTAATAGATTAAATTTGGAGGCTCTTTTGTCCTCAGGAAATGTCATAGTTCCTTGCAAGTTTGTGGACAAACTTGAATTGGTAACTATGCTCTCGCAGTTCACTGCATTTTTTTAAACACAATTCACACCACGGGGGTTTACTGCCAGTATTGCGGAAAACGAAACACCCTGAAGGTCATGCGAAATGTCACAGTGAATTATTGCTATTTTCTTGCTAAGGTTAATGAAAAGAAATCACAACCAAAAAGAAAACGAGACCTCACAGATGCAGTGGAAAACAGTCAGAGGCAATAAGAGCTTGCCAGGAAGCAATAACACACCAGCGATAGCACGGTTTGTGCGCTTTACTACAGCGTTGATTTAAAGGTATCAAAAGGTTATTGTTTTAACATGATGAATTACTGCAGGTTTTGCTATTAACCTGTTGATCACGATACCTTCAATTTACTTTTTTTTGTTTTGAGTAGTTTATGGAAAAAACACTGGTGCATTTACAAGTATTTTGATGAATGCAATCCGCACAAGCTCATAAGTATCTTGTCTTGTACTGCATTAAACCTTTTCGTGAATACATCAGTGCTCATATGCGTACAGGAAAAGTGACATGGCACGCAGTGGAGGAAAACATCTGTTTCTCTTTAAAGTGTCACTCAGCTCAGTCAAGAAACCTCCACACAGTCTACCAGGTAGTATGCGTATATTCACAGATGAAACCATTTTCAAGTTATCAAAGGTAATTATGAGTGTGTGATGATATATTTGTTTTGTTGTGAATGTTTTTGGATGCTTCTGTTTGGTAACAAGTCATATGTTAAATATTCTCTGGTCTTCTAGTTGTACTTGATTGTGGACTATGCTCTGGCATGAAACACATTTCTGATAAGAAAGTATTATTATGGGAAATCATAAAAGCAGTCCACACAAATAATATTTTTTTCCCCACAACATCACCATGAACATGGATAGTTCCCTTGGAGCATCTTAGGCTTAAGTGCTGTTTTAATGGGCACAAGGTTAATAACTCATAACTCATGGCTTGTAGGGATTGAATGAACAAGCTTCTTGTTATAGAATATATCACAGTTCATACATTTACATATACATGCTAAGAATGTGTTTTAATCAAGACAATCCTCACTCCCTCTCTCTCTTTATTTTTTTTATTGTTGGTCGGAGAGTAAAGAAAAAAATGCATGAAAATGTGTGCTTTGGACAATTTGAAATTAAGCATATTTATGCTCCTTCATTACAGAACAATTATAGAGTCATCAAAAGATGGCCATATTTATAATAATTGGGTTGAAACCTGTGAAAATTAATGCGAAATTAAGCAACAATTGCTTGAATGTGTGCATAGATATCATTCGCTTTTTTAAAAAACTATTTTGCTCCACTGGGTAACATCTCCAAAACACCAACAGCTGTAAACTGAGCTTGTGCGATTTCAGAAATAACAGATCCTATGGGTTTCCCTGAGAAAATTACTTTTAGGGATTGTACTTTCTCCATCACAAATAAAACCTTCACACAAATACGAACTCTTAGAAGTCAAGGGAAAGCACATCATTCAAAATGTTGCTAATCTAGGAGAAGATGGTTACAAATCAAGATTACAGGTGAGTCAACAAATAAAAGAAAACATTGTTGTGTTTGAACATGTATTCCCATAACATGTGTCTGTTATTGTCGACAGGAGTAAATTCTACTTCCAAATTTCACAACAGAGTGTTCCAGTCCCCCGACTTTGGCAATTACTACTTTCAACATCCAGTTTTCACAATACATCAGGTTCAACAACTAGCAGTGAGACTGCAGGGGTAATAACTCTGCCCACTGAAATTCGATTTGAAGGGGAAAAAAATCACTTATATGAATCTGTGCAGTAGACAGTGGCAGTTCAAGTTCATATCTCTTAGATTATAAAACAATCCTATCTGGAAATGTTTTCAAGATCACCAGATTTGCTGTCCAAAAATGAAAACAGAAGCAGAAATTCATATATTATTAATTTATTTTTATTATTATTATAGTCCCATTTTCAAAACACTGAATTATTAGACAAGACATGATCACATCTATTAATTCTATGATTCTATTCATCCATCAACAGTTATTATTACTATTATTATTATTACTCTGCCCTGCAAAAGAAAAGTGCAGAAACTATAGCAACACTGAGACAAAGGGGTTCAAAAATATTATTTTTAAATATTAAAATGTAAGTAATATTTAAAATGTAATAAAATGTAATATAAAAAAATTATACACATATAAATACTATTATATACATGTTTATTACGTAAACATACATTTATCAATAATACGATATAATAATTATTATTATTATAATAACAATATTCAAATATTCAATATTGCTACTTAGTAATAGTAAGGTAGTTGTTAAGTTTAGGTATGGGGTAGGATTAAGGTATCTAAAATATGGTCATGCAGAATAAGGCATTACGGTGTACTTTATAAGTGCTAAAAAAACAGCCAATATGCTTGTAATATGCATGCTAATAAGAAGCTAGATAATAGCGAGAATTGGTCCCTAAACTAAAGTGTTACCAAAAAGTATGTAGTTATTACATTTTGTTGTTGCATATCAATACTGAAGAGCCATAGTAAATTAAGTTTATCGCAAAATAAAAACTTTTCATAATTTACACATGCTAATATGATTTGTGGCAATATAAACTATCTACTTTCAATGCTTGGAAAATACCAGTTAAGACTTTTTTTTTAAGTTTAAATAAGTAAAACACAAAGTCAGAATGACATGAGGGTGAGTAAATTAGTTTTTAATGAACTATTCAAGTATTTTTATGACAGTGATCGTTAATACCAAAACTGCCACAGCTATACTGTTGAACCAATATTCTAAGTAGGCAAAATATTTTTTGAAAGCAGAGAATACTTCGAAAATGGTAATTAGCAATATAGCAAGCTGAGTGGCAATATGTTTCAGGTGTTGCGTGCAGTGCAGTTGCGGGAAGCAGTGGAGCTCCATGTCTTTCAGCCCAGCTTGATTACGATTAAGTGAAGTCAGGCGTGCCCTCTAATTACTGCTTACACTGGGAGTGTTTGTGCAAGAGTGTACTGAGGCAGCCTAAGACGCAGCAGAGGTAACCAAGACAATGGCACTTTAAGCAATTTGCAGCATTTGGTGACAGAACCCCAGAAAGTTACATTGTTAACACAAAGCATGGTAGAGAAGAGTCAGAATTCCAATTTTGTGCTTGAGGGAGTAAAAATGGCATGAAGGAGAAGTATTGTATATACACCATGAAAAGATGCATTTACACAGACCTTTTAATGTATATATCAATGTACAGAGACCCCAGGGAAACAATGCATCACATGCTCAAATGGTGATTTTTGTGCATAGTCAACAGAAAACAGGACAAGAACCGATTTTTATGACGATATGAGACGATATGCTGGATGGCTTATGTATATATATATATATATATATATATATATATATATATATATATATATATATATATATACAGTATATAAACTAAACTAAATTATAAACGCAAGACTTTTGTTTTTGCCCCCATTTTTCATGAGCTGAACTCAAAGATCTAAGACTTTTTCTATGTATACAAAAGGCCTATTTCTCTCAAATATTGTTCACAAATCTGTCTAAATCTGTGTTAGTGAGCACTTCTCCTTTGCCGAGATAATCCATCTACCTCACAGGTGTGGCATATCAAGATGCTGATTAGACAGCATGATTATTGCACAGGTGTGCCTTAGGCTGGTCACAATAAAAGGCCACTCTAAAATGTGCAGTTTTATCACACAGCACAATGCCACAGATGTCGCAAGTTTTGAGGGAGCGTGCAATTGGCATGCTGACTGCAGGAATGTCCACCAGAGCTGTTGCCCGTGAATTGAATGTTCATTTCTCTACCATAAGCCGTCTCCAAAGGCGTTTCAGATAATTTGGCAGTACATCCAACCGGCCTCACAACCGCAGACCACATGTAACCACACCAGCCCAGGACCTTATATATATATATATGTATATATATATATAAGCTGTCTAGCATTTTAAAATGATAGCCAGATTAGCCCATTATCATAAAGATAAAAACATGATTTTTTTTGTATCTGGCTTAAAATAAAGTTAAAAAAAATAGAAGGAAAAAAAAACACCCATCACTTTTAAGGGTGAAATAAATCGAGTAGTTCCAAAAACTACATTTATACATAACTATCATTAAGTTGCATTATTTTAAAGTATAAAGGGGAAGAGAATATTTCCCTCCTTTCATAAGAACTTATGATAAAGGATTTTTTTTTTACTGAGATTGCTGAGCCTCTTCAAAGGGCTACCTGTCTTGCACAGCATTCATGCGCTGCTCTGAATAGCCATTTCATTGTGGGAGTTCACAGTTGTAACTTTCCTGGCTCATTTCCTCAAAGCCCTGTGTCATATCCTTTCGTCTGCTTTCAGGGTCTGGGATGTGGTTAGGGTGAGCTTTTAACATCAGAGAATGTATGATTTATTTTACCGCCACACTCTTAAAAGCTCTTGCATCCAAGTTTAATTTCCTTTTCCTTTCTGCTTCTAAAAGCACAGACTCGGGAGCTAGAGAAATGTACTTGGTTAACATTGTACTCGGTTCTGAACATTGACATGTAGATGTTGGTGGCGAAATAATGTAAGAATGGGCAAAGACACACCTTTTAGTTAATGCTCTCTTAGAACTGGCAAGTGTTTTTGCTGATCTGAAAGACAAACTTACTATTTTATAGCGTAACTTGTCCACAAACATGGCACATTAAAGTCTTTGTTACAGTAATACACCTAGTTTTTCAGTTGGTTTTAAATTTGTTTGGTCATAGAAACAAATGTAACTGGGACAGATTTGGTTCAAGCAATGGCACTGTGCTGGTGGAAAAAAGCAGGTTAACGATGACAATGTTGACAGATTCACCAGTTACACCACAGTCAAATTTGCCAAGCCAGTTATCTAGTAGGATAGTGACTCACCACAGGAAGTGGACTCGTCGGACATATCTCCACAGTCATCATCTTGATCACAACGCCACGCATCTGGTACACAGCGACCGTTACCACAGGTGAACTGACCAGCCCGACATGGCTGGGCTAAAGACAAAATGATAAAGGGAACAAGTTAATCTGATTATTCATGACATTTAGAGTATTTAGCAGTGGCCACCTGAGATATGAATAGCAATTTTTTTTAAATATTTCATATTATTTTAAAATTCTGATTCTGCATAACAATTTATTTATTTATTTGGCAATTTTGAGCAAGAAAAAAATGTTTAAGAAATGTTTAGAGAACGGATTGTTTCAACAGAATAATACAATTCCATTATTCTTGGAGAAATAAAGCAAAACAAAAATAATTAAACGAACATTAATAGAACAGAACTTCAATTAAACATTTTTTAGTTATATAATGAAAACAAACTGAGTATTTTCTTAAATCAAATGTATGTATTACTATAATTTAGGTTATTTAATTTATTATTTAAAGTATAAGGGGAAAGACTCTTCGCGTCTTTTCATAAGAACTGATGACAAAAGAACAGAAGGGCTACCCTTCCTACCCAGTGTTCTTGTGCTATTTCAAACAAAACATACAAAAAAAAACAATTAACAGAACAACAACAAAAAATATGTAACCCCCTTGGGTTTTGCACTATGCTTTTAAGTTTTGCGCAGTACCATGTTTGCCCTGTAGGAAAGCAATTGCATAAACGATCCAGTGTGACAGTCTTTGCTTGGACACAGGTAGGCCTTTTGTGCACTCTCCAAAGCATACAAAGAGCTGCTCTGAGAGGCTGAACTGTTTAGAGTGCTCAATATAAACGCATGTACAGGGCACAGCAAGAGTGTATTAAGCATCTCCGCCCTTGCCGGTGTTTCGGGGCGGAAAGCAGATAGTGTTATGACCTGCGCTTTAAACGGAGTCGAAAGCACTTTCCCCAACTTGCTTAACAGAGGTCAGCATGAGTAAAAGCGCTGCCTTGAGAGAGCACGCTGATTGCAAGGACTTGAACGGGGGTCTCATGAGAATGTCAAGCACAAGTGCCAAGTCCCAGGTGGGTAGGGTGGAAGGGTGAGAGGGGTTCAGCCTTCTTGCTCCCTTTAAGAATCGTACGACAAGGTCATTTCTATTGACTGGGTGATCATGGACGTGCACGTGAAACGCTGTTATAGCAGCCACATACACTATCAATGTGTATGGGTAGGGTGGAAAGGAGAGGGGGGTTCAGCCTTTTTGCTCCCTTTAAGAATTGTACGACCCGGTTATTTCTACCGACTGGGCGATTATCAATGTGTGCATGGAACACTGTTATATCAAAGCGCTCTTGAAGGAAGGCAAGAATTATTGGTATTAGGCAGTTAAATGGGTCTCTGCCCTGTGACCTGCACCAATGAAAACTCTCCATTTATGTGTGTAAAGATGCCTTGTGGCCTCAGAGATAGTGTTCAACACAAACTGAAAAAGCACATCTATTGCTGGCAAGCTCCGTTGAGCGTCCAGACATATAGATTTCATGACTCTGGGTTGGGGTGCCATATCATTCCCTATACTTGAGAGATGTAACGAATCAGCTCATGGGAAATATGAATAATTAACCATAACTAGTTATAATTAATTATGAATATTTTAGATCCGCTGTAGATATTTAGCTGACCTCTCAGGCTCAACTGTCTTGTCAATTCTAAGAACGTTAATTTCCTGGTTAAGGGAAATAACTTTCTTACTGTACAATTCTACAAAGATTGTAGCATAAATCTGCGTGATTAAGTGACTCCAGTTATAAGCAAACAATGAACCACGTCAAGTGTGATACAAGTAAGGTTTTATTAACTACATAAACACTTAAACTAGTCTAACATACTACATAAACACATAAACTGGTCTAACATACACATGCACCCATCAGTCCATGGTACTGCCTGAATGGAGAGGAGGGGTTGATATGCCCACAGAAGAAGGTATTTCACTAGCCGCAGCAGAGGCTGTGAGCTCACACACCCCTGGTGATTTATAAAAGCTACCACTGTCATGTTGTCTGTCCTGATGAGAACATAATGGTGGAGAATATCTAGGAGAAAGCACTCGAGTACTAGGTGAACAACACTGAGCTCCAGACAGTTTATGTGCCACGACTTCTCCATTTCCAACCACGTCCCGAAGGCAGGTCTGACATCGCATATGGCTCCCCAGTCCGTGCTTAATGCATATGTCTTAACAGTCTTTCACCTAATCACCTGACCAATAGGAACACCCTGGTGATACAGAGTCATATCGCGCCAAGGGGTCAGCGCATTTAAGCAGTCACGCACCACTTTGACGCGCAATGTGCCCATATGCCATGCGCTCTGTGGCAGTGGTCACATATGCAGGAGCCCTAATTTGCACACTGTTAAGTCGGCAGCCATCTGGCCGAGCATCCTCTGACAGCATTTCAGCTGGGGAGAGTGCCCTAGAGTTAGGGCACTCTGCAAGAGAGCTGATCAGTTTTTGTGCACGCTCCTCCAATATTGAGAGCCTAAAAAGGAGATGATCTGGCTCGGTGCCAGCATGCTCTTTTGCATATTCACAGTCAGCACTAAGCCCTGAAGATGAGTAGCGTGCTGAGCAGCGTGCTCTCTGATTGGGCTAAAACCAGCCAATCACAAATATAATTCAGGATGCGCATTCCACTCTGCTTCAAAGGAGAGAGAGCCACATCCATGCATTTCGTGAAAGTACGTGGGGCCAGAGATAACTCAAAGGGTAGGACGGTAAATTGATATGCTATCCCCTCGAATGCAAATCTCAGGAAGCTCCTGTGGCGAGGGGCTACCTGAATGTGAAAATAAGCATCCTTTAAATCCACAGAGCTAAACCAATCTCCCGCTCTGATGTGTGAGAGGATTTGCCTCAACGTAATCATTTTGAACGTGCGCGTGGATAGCGCGCGATTCATTAGTCTCAGCTACAAGATTGGGCAGAGTCCGCCATCTTTCTTTGGTACCAGAAAATAACAACGCTCTTGTGCACTGTATCTGCAAGGGGTACTGTCTATACAGCACGTTTTGCGAGAAGGTTTTATATTTCCTCTCGCAGAACTGAGGCATTCTGCTTTTGTTCAGTGGACGTTAACACACCATTGAAACGGGGATGTCTGTGGAAGAACTGAATTGTGTAGCATTCTTTATTGATTTCATAACCCACTCTGATACCCCTGGCAGTGCCTACCATGCTTTTGTGAATTGTGACAGCGGTCGAGGCGGACTGCACACTGTGAGGGCTCACTGTTGGGGAGAGCAGGGAGTTTAATGCCACATGAGTGTAAGAGTGAGTAATGGGGGTGAGGGGAGTAAGAGTAGGAAAACTGCTCTGATATTGAGGTGAGTTTTGTATTTATTTATTTTTTACTTTATTGCACTGGATAGTGGAACGGTCAAAACACAAAAATGACAATTGCCCCGCTGCCCGCAAAAGGCAGGGTTAATACACACAGCGGAGCGAGCGGACTTCTTCAGTTGCTCGTCTTTGGTGCTAGGTGCAGCTTTCCTCCTCTGAGGGACAGCATCAGGAACGCAGTTTTGTTTCCGGTGCCAGCCTGCTGTCTCTGTCAGGGCGGTGCCTCTGGCTCTTCTTCAAGACCTGACAATGCTCACAGCTGATTTCCCATGTTGTGGCCTATCGCTTGAGCTGTCACCTTCGTCGCTCTGAGGATCAGTTCTGGTGGAGTATAACATACCCCACTTGGTCAGCACCATCCACAGAAGACAGGTGGGAGGATCACGGATTGTGCACTTGACTGGTGAATGGCGTGTTCCATGACTTTGATATTTCGTTGTGCACTTCGGGGAAAAAGGGACTGGGCCTTTGCTGGGTGTCCTTTTGGCTGTGGTCCGACTGGAAGTACCATTCGTCCAGACGGCTTTTGGCCGGCTCAGCAGGAGGCACCCACTCTAAACCAAGCTCATCAACTGCCTTGGACAGGATGCGTAGGAACTCGACATCAATATGATGGCGGTCCCCTGCATCACTGCAGTGGGGCACAGTATAATCCAGTGGGCTGTTGGACCACTCATCCTTTGCAGATGATGCCACCGAAATGGCATCATCCTCATCCTCAGCACCCTCCATAGAGTCAAAGGACAACAGCTCCAACCATGATCCAACTCACCTACCTGTGATTTTCTAATGATTGTGAAGACATTGATTAGCATGCTCAGGTGCGATTGATTAGGGTTAGAGCTAAACTCTGCAGGAAAGTGGATCTTGTGGGCCAGATTTGAGGATCCCTGGCTTAGACGATGGCCACACAGAGCCTGAGAGTCCGGAGGCTCATATCGCCACAGTGGGTGCAGTCCGATCCCCCAAGCGCCGACTCCACGGGGGCGCGACCTAGGCAGAGGACGCACAACTCAAGGCCATCAGAAGATTCGATTTGCTCTGCACAGGAGTGGCAATCACGAGAGGTTATCCTTGTCTGAAGCTCATAGGAACACAGCAGGAGAAGAGAAGGTTGTCCGCTGCAGCGTGTAGATCACGGTGAGTAGTCTTTGATGATAGGCTTCTTGCTTCTTGCAGAAGGTTGGCTGAAGTAAAAGTTTCTGAATGGATGACATCCAAGTGTTGCCTTATATAGAGAGAAAAGCCCCTCATATTTTGTGTGGTTGAATGCCATTGGCCAGTGTTACTGGCGTGATTCAATAATGCTTCAGTAGTTTTTGGAAGAAGGGGTTTCCCTATAAGGATTAGCAAATGCAAAGTCGAAGTGAACAAATTGAAGTGTATCACATGGTGATCCAGCGCTGCATTTAAACAGGTGTTTGTAGATTATGGTTGTATATATTTTTTTACATATAAATCATTGTTGGAGTATGTTCATTGTTTCGAGAGGAGTTCCAATTGATGAGCTCTGGTTGTTTTTTTTTTGTTTTTTTGCCTGATTCCATCGTGTGAAATGATCAACTGTGTGATTGAGAACGATGGTGAGCCGGACGCTGTGCTTTGCTGAAGATAAGGGCCTACTGCGAGGTTCAACCCAGACTTGATTCTTTGGAAGGATTCTTTTCAACTACAGCTAAGCTGCTGTTTCTTACACATACACTACCCAGGTAATAAAGAGAAATTAGGTATTAACATGTTACATTCATTTTAAACTACACGTACGAATAACAAAGGAACCAGGATGACTTTTGGACAGTTTCTTCCTTTATTAAGGTTTTTTTTTTGGACTCATTATTGAATAACCTGGACTCAACATTGAATTGTCCTTACCTCATTGACATTGTTGTGTTGTTCGTTTAGTATTTGCTCATTTAATTCCTGTGTGTAATAAATGTGCCAGCTGTTTACTGGTTTCATACCAATTGGTAGAGTTGGGATATTCGGACTCATACTCAGACTTGAGTACAATTTTTAGCAGACTCCGACTCGTCCCAAACTCGGATGCATTTTTACTCTTACTTGACTCGGACTCGAGCCTTTGGGACTCTAAAAATAATTCCGAGTTGATGGAACTGTCACTGAACCGATGCATTTTAATGAAAGTGACATTCAGTATTTGCATGTGATTTTAAGTTCCGAGTAAGTATTGTGAAAGCTGCCGGGGTTCTGTGCACACACACCCAAAGAGCGCTCACAGAAAACGCCTCTCGGTCAGTGTGTGAATGCCGAATTAAGTAGTCAAATGCACAAAAAGTTATGTTAAAATTTTGGAGAGTCTTGGAGAGTATTCATGTAAATGCAGTTGGTTTTGTCTAAAGTGAACCTGAACAGTTGGGAGAAATATGGATGTGTCAAAATATTTGATCCATGCGTTGGGTCTTAAAGTGACAGCAGCGTAAACCTGCTGCTGCTGACTGTGTGAATGTTAATCAAATAAAAGAAAATGAGAAAATCACTAACTGCTTTTAACTTAATCATTTTAGTAACTTATTAAAATATTAACTACTATTTATGTAGTAGCCTAGGCATGGGCCGGTATGATAACCTTAAGCAAAAATATCACGGTTTCACGGTATCACGTTATTATCGTTACAACTTTAAAATGTGCTATGTTTAAATGACTGGAAAAAATTTTTTTTTTTCTGCTGAACACAATATATTTTGTTTTTGAGCAACATACAGAATATTAGGAACAGTAGAATTTGTTTATTTTTTCTTTGATTTGTTTCCTAAAAAGAAGAAAAATAAAGACTGACATCTTTATTTAACCTAAATCTGTAATTACTTTAATTTTAGTTATATAATTCATATACATATCATTTATATCATTTAGTTATATAATTTCATATACATCATTTGATATAATAATAACCCAATTTGAAGCAAAAACAGAATGTTCTGTTCTGACTAGCTTTGTGAAATTATACTACATGCCTGAACGAAGCAAACAGCAGAAGATCTGAATGAGACGCAGATTCACTTTCTGACAGCAGGAGGCACTTCTCAAACACCAGATACATTGTTTCCTTGCTTACCACCGTAAACAAAGCAGCACTGCGCCGAAACATTGCTTCAATATGAACTATACAGAGAATATACGTTAAACGTTTCTGAAGACAGTCAGTTCCCCTCAGAAACATTCATATAAAGCCCCAAATCAATATTTGAGGATTTTCTTCCAATAGATTGTGCATCATGAACAGTGAGTGATCTGCCTGCTACAGTATTTTTCTCTGTGCGTCCATCTTCAACGTCTCTGGCCTGTGTTAACGGGCATTTACAGACTTCATATTTTCACATAAATTACATTTTGGAAAACGATTGCAACACAGTTTGTGCAAGTCCAGAACAGAGACGAGTTGCTTGCAATAAGACAAAAAAACGGCCGGTTGACGCTCGCTTCCTTTGATTAATTCATCCAAACTTTGACAAATTCCATGACATTCCGCGTTATACAGTAAATTCCGTTGACTGGATTCCGCAATTCCATCCGTGTTTTCCGCATCGCGGAAATCATAGGGCCATAGGCGTACGTTGTGGGAAGGTCCAAACTCCACCTCTGGAGTCGCTGTCATCAGAATCCTGCGTGTTGCCAGATGTTGAGGGTCCTGAGGTGTGCATCAACCCATTTAGAGCGTCTGTAATGAGCCAATTTCATGGCTTTGTTTTGAAATTTCAATTATGGGATTTTTTTTCATTATTGACCGTACATCGTACAGAGGTCAAAATTATCGTACAAATACGATAATTATCGTACATCTGGCAACACTGGCTTGCACCTTCTACACTGCACTCAACCTGAGGGATTCCTACACTTTCAGTCTATGAGGAGACATGAAAAACAGCGCATACCGCAGGAACGGTATAACGGAAAATATTAGCGGTTTTGAAATCGTGACATTTTCAAATTGCGGTATACCTTGAAACCGGTAATCGGCCCATGCCTAAGTCTATACTATATAGACCTCTCTGAAAATTGATTTAATTTGTATTTTTGATTAATAATCTTATTTATCATTTTGCTTGTAATTAATAATTACTGTTTACTTGCCTTCAGTAAGAGAACATTTAGAAATAGTTTTTGCTGTTCTAATGAAATTATTATTATTAATATTATTATTTTATTTTTTTAACATGGTGGCAGCTTCTAGTTTGAAAGAAAAATAATGTTTCTAACATATTTGCGGCAGTAGTTTTTATGGGCCAAAAGCAATTATTCCTTACATAATGGAATTTACTTTAAATGAATTCAAAATGCATTCAAAAATAAAACAGTTGTGAGTTGACTGTGAGTAATGGGTTTATATATATATATATATATATATATATATATATATAT